GCTCACACACACACACACACACACACACACACACACACACACACACACACTTTGTCATTATTTTCTTTAAGAGTGAAGTTAATAAAAGTTTCATACTGGAAGGGTGCTTGTTAAATTGAGCCAAGTAATATAAACTACCATAATTTCCAGACTATTAAGTGCACCTGAATATAAGCCACGCCCACTACATTAAAAAAAGTACATATATAGGCTGCACTTGTGTATAAGCCACAGGTGTCTACAAGTAACATGAGATATTTACACAGAAAGATTTAAAAAATGTTTAGTTAAATATGTACTGGTAACATACGAACAGCCAATGTTTCTGAACAGTGCCGGTAACACGGCTGGTTAAAAAAAAAAAAAAAAATACACCAGGAAAAGTCATTGAACACGATCTTCATCTTTGTCCTGTGCACTAAAACCACTAAAGTCTTCTTCAGTGTCAGAATTGAGCAGGCTCAGAAAAACGTCTTCACACACGTCCTCGGTCTCTTTTGTTGTTGTTCAACGTCACTTTCGTCTCGAGGCAAATTTGCGATTTGATTTGATTTACGATTCACTCCGTTTTCGAGTGGCTGCAAAATACATCATGGTGTACAATGAGGGGGGGGAACTCACAGGAAGTGTGTGGAACCAATGAAACAAAGTGTCTCACTGAGTCATGAGGACACCCCCCCCACCCCAAGAGAGAGGTGTATTGGGAAGCTATGTGAGCACCTGGGTGCAACGAGGCTAAAAGTTTTGGTGGCAGGAAACTCGTTAGCCCATCAAAAAATCAAAATCTATAAATTATCTGCAGCATTAGCACGGTGGCGCAGCTGGTAGATCTGCCGCCTCTCAGTGAGCAGGTCGACCTGGTTCAAATCCCAGCCGGGGGTCTTTCTGGGTGGAGTTTGCATGTGGAGGGTGCGTACATGGGTTTTCTCCGGGTTCCTCCCACAGACCAAAAACATGCATGTTAGGCTGATTGGAAACTCTAAATTGTCCCTAGGTGAGAGAGAGAGTGAATGGTTGTTTGTCTCTGTGCGTCCCTGTGATGGACTGGCGACCTGTCCAGGGTGTCCCCCACCTCTCACACAGGGCACCGGGCTGGCCATTGGCACCAGTGACCCCCCCCCCCACAATCCGAATAGGAAGAAACTGGTAAAGAAAATGGATGGCTGGATAACCGCAGCATTGTATAAGCCACGGCGTTCAAAGCGTGTGAAAAAAGTAGCGGCTTATATTCTGGAAATTACGGTACATGTGTATTTTTAAATCTCCGGCATGCACTCGCTGCTGACTGTCTGGAGATGATCTGAGACTTCTTAGTGAAATTTATTTACACTGTTTTGTTCCGTCTTTAATCCACAGGGGGCAGAAGGGACGGAGAAATGATTCCAATGAACGACATGGGACCAGGCAAGTCTGAAAATGCAACACGCACAACTGATCAAATATTACAACAAATGAAATGTATGGGGAAAAAAAACCTGATGTGGCATCTTTTCAGTCCTTTTCTAGAAGTTAAAGTTACATAAAGTCATTGTGAGAAATCTGTATGTATATAAATGTAGACTCGGAAACTAAATAAAAACTAGAGCATGTCTGATGAAGTTTAAAAGTGTACCAATGCAGCTACTGCCCAAATAAAGGTGGCTCATTATGGTCACCATGGAAACCACACACTTGTCTATCACTCCCTGACTGCCAAGTCAACGAGAAGCAGATGGAAAAGTTGAACTCAACAGTTGCTGCATCAAGACTTTAAATCAGGGCTTAAAAATCTGTGAACCACGAGCGGTTTGATCGCTTGCCCTTTTTGCCGGCGAGCGAGAAGCATTCATGTGGTTTAACGAGTTTCTGGTCCCTCTTTAGATGCCTACTCCACACTGGATCCAAGAGGAAGGCAGAACTCTCTGGATAACACACTCGAACCTGCTGACAAAGATATGGCTCAGGTAGACTTACAGCACCTTTACCCCCCCCTGAAAACATGTAATCCTGCATGACTTCACCTAAAAGATAAATAGCTGCCTTCTAAAAGACACGAACCGAATAATATTACTTGTACCTCAGTCCTAAACCCAGCACAAGTTAATGAATTTGTGATCACATTCTAGGCAAACCATATTGAATCTTTTGTGAGAAGTGTATATTTTGGGGTTTAGGACTGCTGGTCAGATAAAACGAGCCGTGATGCTGCTCCCATCTGCTGCTGCACCACATCGAGGTTTTTCCACCTATTTTAGAGCACATTTTATTTTAGAGTCAGAAAAGTCTTCTTTTAATTGGATTTGTATTGAAATCTGTGCAGCACACACCGAATGTGAGCTCCAGGAATGTTTTTGTGTGAATGTTCTCACACCCACAGACAGCATGTTATTGCACGTCTGTATCTTGCACATGATCTCTAATCTGTTTTTTCCTACTTGAAACGCGAACTAACAATAAACTAACGACCCCTTTTTTTTGTCATCTGCTCTTTTTTTCCTCTTCGACTAAAACCGCTGCACCTTTAAAAATATATTTTCTGTCTACTTCTGGGTGTATCACTTTGTCCCTCCTCCGGGTTTCTTTTTACCTCTTTGAAAAAATTTCAACCACTTCCTGTTCCTTCATTTTTCTTTTCCCAGGGAGAGGTGTATGAGGAGAGGCAGGCCTCATTGCCTCTGATGGATTCTTATGATGGTTAGGCCACACCCACTGTCACAGTGCATGTCAGCGCATGGTATGTGTGTCCCATTGGCTTCCCCGCTCAACGCACCTGCATGACCTAAAATCTTACTTGTGTAATAGGAGCAGTGTAGCTGGTGTTTACTCATTTTACTGCACTCAGCTGGTTGGTGTGCGCCCCCTGTTGGTGAAAAGTGTCTGTGATTTTTGTTCTCCAAAGGTGGTTTAATGCAGTTTAAAAATGTAACGTTGCTGCTCACAGCCTCTGTGTTTAAACGTACTCATTGCAAAACATGAAGTCGAACATAAAAAGTTTATCCTGTTAACGGTGCACTTTGAAATGGTGTACTCCAGTCGTTTTCCAGATATATTGATATTCAAATCTGAAAAGTGAGCGTGCTGGTAAAATAAACCAAGTAAAATCGCTAAATTTGATGATTCATGACCTAGATTATGCTGGCTACAGTCTGTGTAGGTAACCAAATATGGTGGAATCAGACAAGCGTTAAACAAAAATAAATCTGCTGATACCGGTAAATGCTAAAGAACAAGTAAGACAAACGCCAACAATTAGTATCGAGGATCAAGCAGGACAGTGATGCGCCATAATAACAACAACTTTGCAAAAGTTTCCAACTCTAATCCAAACAGCTCTTCCATGGATGAAACTGTTGGCCTGTTTTCAGTTGCAACGACTGTAGGTAAACATCTGGTATTTGGTATCCAGTAACGAAGTTAGCTTGTACAGTGGTCCCTCGTTACTTCGCGGTTCAAATGTTTCACAGGTTTTCAACGTAAGATTGTACATGACACACGATTGGTTGATTGATGGAGACTCATGTATAAGACACACCCCCTCCTTTCTTTTTCTGAGGCCGTCACAGCAGAGCAGAGACGCACTGCTGTGACTGACAGCCTCGAAAAAAGAAAGGAGGGGGATTGTTTATTTAAAATAATAAAGCGCGACCCAAACAGAGCCTTTAGTCCCCTCAACAATGAGCAGGCCAGGCCACTATGAAATGTCCTAGTGCTCCCAATAGCCAGTCTGCCCCCGGGATTGGCTCAGTAATCGTAGCATTAGTCTGTTTGCTCTCTTTCATTGTGTAATGAATTATGAGGGGCACCCGGAAATTCAACCACACACAGGCGTGAACAAAAATCAGGAGGAGAAAGTCAGCTGTGACTCTGTAGAGCTCGATCACAGGTGGAGAAGCTGAAGATGTGATGATGTCAGAGGGAAAGAAGGTTTGGACGGATCACGTGATATGCAAGTGTAACCTGGAAGGTCCAACAAACACTCTTCAGATTGTGGAGCTTGGTTCTGAGAGCTCATCTCCTAGAGTCTGGGGTCTGAGTTTATGATCAAAAATACAGGCGTGAGTCGTTCACATAGAGGCAGGAAAATCAGTACTTATCCGAGGGGTTTAGTTGGAATCGGTGGTCTGAAGGCAAAGCAGAAGTCGAAGTCCAGATATCCGATGGGCACAAGGATCCATCTTGGGCGAGGCATCCGTGGTCATAAAGTGGGTCAGGAACAAGAGCAGGAACAAGAATGCTGGATACTTCAGGCACAAGGCGATCAGACAATCTGGCATGGACGCAGAGATTGGGGAGTGCATAAGAAGTGCAGCGCACAGGTGCAGCAGGAGGGAGGTTGGGAGTAGAGCTGTCATATCTAACCCGGGCCCGAAGGGGCGGGCCGGGCCATGATGATGTGTTGGATGGGCAGGCCGGGTTGGTGTCGGGCTTTTGATTGCATCAGCCGCAATCCAATTATATGACAACATGGCTTGCCACACATTCACCAGCCGCACGTGGCCATTTCACCGCGAGCTGACTGGCCTTGAGGTAAAATAAAGTTCAGTTAAGCTTCAGATGGGACTATACTGCCAGGCAGCAATCCATCGCCCAAATGGACGTTCAGCTGCTGCGCTCGGCGGACGCGCGTAGCTGACGACCCAAACAGGTGAGATCCTAAAGCAGACATGTCAGAGCAGGGTCCGTGTCTGAATAATGCAGAATGCGGGCAGAAACGGGGTTTTAATGCTCTTTGACGGCCATGAAAGGACAAACACCCCCACAGCTTCAATCTTCTGCCCCTTTTATTCAGCCGCGCGTCACCGCGGTAAAGATAGTTTTACGTTAGACATTTGAGCTCCGTGGCTTCAGCGGTGTGTTCGTCTCTTTCGATCCGTTGCAGACGGTCTGATTTCGGTCAGCCGAACTCGAACGAGAGGAACACACCGCTGTAGCCACGGCGCTCAAATGTCTACCGTAAAACTAACTTTACCACGGTCCGCACGTCCACCGACCGTTAACATACTATAAGCAGTCAAAGCTTAATTAAAAGTGTTGGGTTTATTTCGGTTCGGACCTGTAATTACTGTGAATTCGTCGGGTGGGGTGGGGTTCAGAAATGATGGCTACGGGCTGGGGCCGGGTCGGATCGGATTTTTTGGGCCCGAATGCAACTGTAATTGGGAGTGACACAGGTGATGAGTGTGATTGCAGGGGAGAAGTGGGCGTGGCAGAGTGGAGATCATGACACGCTGTGCTCTTTTAGAGTTTAGAACATTGCAAGAGTGTGGAAAAGATTTATAAAGCCTTTAAAATATGTATAAATACTAAAATAAGTGATGTCTCTACTTCGGATTTTCACCCATCGCAGGGGTGTCTGGAACATAACCCCCACGATAAGTGATTAACTACTGTACAGTTTCTGTTTAATGACATAATAACCATCAGTACTTGGCTCCGTGACGTTGCAATGAGTACATTTTAATTTGTATATCATTTTGTATCTGAATATGAAGGCATGAACACCTCCCATCAGTTGCTTCACACAAGCAGTTTCCACACTTTTACCTCTTTTTTCCCCCCCCTTGCAGAAAAACTGATTGTGTGCATCACAAGACGACAGCCTCCTCCCACTTACTGCCCTTGCTGAACTGACACTACGGGGGACCACAACACTACCGATGGGACTTGACTCCAACATTTCCACTCACTCCTTCTCTCCCTCCTCGCAGCTTCTCTCGTTTTCTGTCTGTGTTACATTCCTCCTTTGCAGCGGGCACATTAATGAAAGGTCTCGTGGATGTAAAGCTTCCTGTGGACAACCGTTTGTGACACTATGACCACTCAATCGACAACACTAACGCTCGTCGTGAACCAGAGACCGAGGCTTCGTTTGGGAACTTTTCTTTGGACTTTAAAGGATCAGAGTCGGGACATTTTCTGCTGAAATTTTAAATTTGTGTTGATGACGCTGTTTGGAAGAAATCTAAGGAATGCTTCTTTCTGGTTAAACGATACAAAAATAATTTCTATTGCTGGGAATGATTGCCTTATTATTGCCTCTGTTCATGTAGTGGTTGCTCTTATTCTTACTTTGCTCTGTAACGCCACTTGTGTGCCGTGCCTGTGCCAAATGACAATGCAAGAATTTGTCATAAAAACTGGTGATTTTTGTTCCCAAGCAGCAACATCTGCTTTGTTTTAAGCATTGCTTGTTACATCCCATCGCCAAGCTGCGCGGGGCTGTGGCATTTTCTAAATTCAGGTTATTGAAAATGTCTACACAGAAATGCACACTCTTATCCTTGTCGGATGATTTTTCTGTTTTAATGTGATCTTGGTAATTTTTGGAAGACACTACAAGAATCAGTAGATGCATTAAATTGTTTCTGCTAGCCTTTAACCTGATGAATGTGTTTTTAAAAAAGGTCTTAGCTGTGGGTTAACTGGAGTGCCTCATGTATTAAGGATGGAGCTGATTCATCCAAGATAACCTGGAAAACCATTGTCTTTTCACTGCAGCTTACATGTTGCAGTACAGTTTTTTGATGTATGTAAAGTACATGGAAATGTTAAGTATGGAGAAATATGAACTTGCGTGCAGGGGCGCTTAGTCTTGTTATTGATTTTTTTTATTTTTTTTTTTATGGTTTAACTCTTCAGATCTGTCTAATTTCCTGCTTTACAAAACCATAACCTACCTGGCAACATTTCCAAATTTTGCCCGCAATCTTTAGTGCAGAGTAAGATGTAGATAATGAGTGGAAAAATTGAAAAAGCACTAAGGGGGTATAATGTTTTTTTTCCTGTTCTTTTTTTATATTTTGTTTATGCCAGTTGATAAATGACAGAGGAAGCCTCATTCTCCCAAAACAGAAGTTGCCTTGAAGAATGAATTTTAACTTAAAAAAAGAAAGGAAAAAAAAAAAAAGAAAATGCAAGGGTTGGTGTCAGAAAATCTGTGGAGGCAAAGACCATAATTTGCTAAAAGATGACATGGAGAAATGAATAAAAGCACATTTAAACTATATATATTTACAAGAGAATATTTGTTAATTTTAATAGTTTTATGTATTTCGTATATTGATTTGGGGTTAATTGTTTTGGGTTATCTGGGTGAATGCATATGCAATCAGTTTTTATGTTTTGATTGAAAACATTCTGTTTATGTCTTAAAACGAACCAAGTTAGCTGAATAAAAACTTTTATTGAGGTCATCACATAAAAACACAGAAAGAATCAGATCGTGGACTACACCTTAATCTTTGCCTTGGCTTTTGAAAAGTTGCACATTCTCATTTATGGTTGAATTATGTAACTAGCAATAATGTTTTTAATAAAAGAAAAACTGATTTCTGAGCGCCATTGTCTCTTTCTGTTTACCAATTTTGTTTAACTGTTTTATAATGTATTCCAGAGAGGCATTTTTTTAAGTGACTTCTAGGGTATATTTTAGAAATTATTTGCAACAAAATAGTGAATTGTTAATTACACATTTATAAAAAAATATATTAGTACTTGAACTCTTATTAAAACATCCATCCATTATTTTTACCCACTTAAACATGCCGTTAAAATTTGCCTTTATACAGATCAAATATTTAGAAAATGGATGCAACATTTGTAATGAATTTCTTTGTAAGATTTATCTTCTGGGATCTAAACAAAAAGTTTATTTTTTTTAAATAACTAAGAGTGCATTTAATTTGTTGAATGTAAGTTAAAAATATCAATAGTGTGGAGTAAAGAAATGAGTAAAATAATAAAATACAGTTTCAGAATCAATCACCCGCCCCCAAAAATGCCACATTTTTTGGGTGTACATCAATTATACACCAGCACACAGCATTGTCCTGGACAGTTTTGCACTTATTTGCACAAATGATGCGGGTTGACCGTTTAATTTAACAACAATTTAATAGAATGGTATTAATGGCAAACTATAAAGTTAAGTATAATATTAGTAAATACAGTCAGGGGAATCAATTGAACATAAATTCTTGAGTATGCATTAATAAGCATGGGGTATTTAAGAAGCTCTCGGCTGTTAATTATATCACCATGACTAATTATTTTCAATTCAAGATAACACCTCCCACGGGTAAACACTTCCCCTCCCCGTTACCTGGTGACCTGTATAGATGAAGGTTGCGTGAATGTTATTAAGAGTTAAACGTATCGCGCTTCGCCCCCTGCTTCTAGCCGAATCACGCGCCGGCAGGTCATTAGGGAGTTGACCCAATGTTGGCGCGAACGTCGGATGTAGCAACCGCTAGGTGTCGCTACAGAGCCGTCAAGTTCAAGTTTACGTGTGGAAAAAATGAAGAATTACGGTAAACAATAAATCATCACTCGAACCTAATTTAGGAGTTTAATCCCCCTTTCAGGAGAAAATGTTTCTTGAAAAATAACCGCTTCTTGAACATCTACAAAAAGGTGAGTAGCTGTGAAGCCGCTTTGTTTTAGCATCAGCTTGCGAAGGATGCTAACACCAACAGTTAAACCTGTTTTTCTACTATTAGCTAACGAAGACTTCAGTGTTGGTTATTATTTTGGTTCGTTTTTGACAAACTTAGTTAGCTTTAACAAATTGTTAAGAATTGACAGAAAGTTCCGGTCACTTTAAACGTGAAAAATGAGGAAACGTGCTCACCTGAGCTGATCGGGTTAACGTGTCGGCCTGCGTCATCAGCTCAACCAGGACTTTCATGTTTCACTCACTTTTCAAATTAACATGTTAAAATAATTATCTGTAATTAATGCTTGGGTAAGACTGCATTTACTTTAGTTATTTCAGGTAAATACATTTTAAATAAAATGCTAGCATCACCAGAAAATATATTTTTAGATTGCTGAATTCACGATATTAGTTTTGAATCATTCATATTGTTTACTTTGGTATTTCAATACATTTGTAATCCACATCCACAAAGTGTTACTTTAACCATTAACCCATAATGTTCAGATTAGTCCCATGATCTTTGTTTTTGTTGTAACTTTGAAGGAAATACATTAAGACCTTTTTAAAGTTCGTCAAAAACATTGTTCTGTTTGAAATCTAGTGAATTTGATCAGTTTTTCTAGTTTTGTATCTTTGTTTTGGTCCTCATCTTTTAAAGCTGATCAGCTTTTTAAATGGTTCTGTTTTTTTTTTTTTTTTTTTTTTAAAAGGGCAGCTCTGGAGGACAGATTGATGCTTTTCTAAAATGTATTTGACACCAGGTGACTGAAGACAGCAGGGACGCCAGGATGTCTTCTGTCCGTCCTACCTGGATGTGGAACACTGATTGATCCGTCTTTGTTGCCTCGCTGCACCAAAAGGAAGAACTTTGGAGAATTTGGATCAGGTGCATCTCAAGAAATTAGAATATTGTGAAAAAAAATCATTTTTTTTTTTATTAACCAGTTCAGAAAGTGAAACTCGTAGATTCATTACACAGAGTGAAATATTTCGAGCCTTTATTTCTTGTAATTTTGATGATTTATAGCGTACAAATAACGAAAAGTCAAAATCTAGTGTCTGCTAGAATTACCAACAGCCAGCTTTGGTAACTTTGTCAGTGTGGGACGGTGCCGAGTCCTGCTGGAAAATGAAACCAGCATCTCCATAAAGCTCAGAAGGAAGCGCGAAGAGCTCTAAAATGTCCTGCTAGATGCTGCGTGGACTGTGGACGTCAGAAAACCCAGTGGACCAGCACCAGTAACTGTGGAAAGTTCATTCTGGACTTCGAGCATCATGGATTCTGGACCTCTCCACTCTTCAAACTCTGGGACCTTGATTTCTAAACGACATGAAAATTTACTTTAATCTGAAAAGAGGACATTGGACCACTAAGCAACAGTCCAGATCTTTGTCTCCTCAGCAGGTAAGACCATTCTGACGTCGTCTCTGGTTCAGGAGTGGCTGGACTTGGAGGAGTGAGACATTTGTAGCTCATGTCTAAGAGTTAATCAGCTGATTAGGGTGTGACACCAGAGCTGCCGCCTCTCAGCAAGAAGGTCGCCGGATCGAACCCCGGCTGGGGACTTTTCTGGGTGGAGTTTACATGTTCTCTCCGTGCATGCGTGGGCTTTCTCCGCGTTCTCCGGTTTCCTCTCACAGACCAAAAACATGCGTGTTAGACTGATTGGTAACTCTAAATTGTCCCTAGGTGAGAGAGAGAGTGAATGGATGTTTGTCTCTGTGTCCCTGTGATGGACTGGAGACCTGTCCTGGGTGTCCCCCACCTCTCGAACAGTGACTGGTGGATATGGGCACAAGTGACCCCCGCGACCCAAAAAGGAAAAAGTGGTTAAAGATGATGGATGGATGCGACGCCACGAGTTTCCAAAATTGAACCTCTTCACAATGTTCAAATTTTCTGAGACACCGATTTTCGTTTTTTCAGTATTTGTAAGACATAATCATAAAAATTACAAGAATTAAAGGCTTGAAATATTTCACTCTGTGTGTAATTAATCTATATTTTTCATTTAACCTTTATTTAGGCAGGTTAATCCCATTGTTAAACGAGTTTCACTTCCTGAATTACTGAAAAACATCAAACTTTTTCACTTTTTTTAAAAACTTATTGAGATGCACCTGTAAATTGTGCAGATATCTGTGGAATTTTCTGGCAAAACAACTATATTTACTGAATTACTTCAGAAAGGAGAAAAAATAAAACTCCCAGGCAATTTAGTTGGTAGTTTTCTTTTATTTAGGGTTGGAAAACTAGAATAACTTCTTGCAATCAGGATATTGACGGCCCCGACACGACTGCTGTTGTGACTTGGTGCTGTATAAATAAACTGAATTGAATTGAATAGATGGGAGAGTTGCATTAAAATAAAATATATTTGTTGGGGATCTATAAATGTCCAAGTGCTAATCTGTAACATGGTTTTAGGATAAACATAATTTAAACTGTAACGTTTTGTTCTGCTTTTCATTAATGGACATTTAGTTTTTTTGCTCCTTCTCCTCTGCAGCGTTTGTTTGGACATGCAAAAGTTCTGGTGGCCCGGTTATGAGGTGCAGCTTGTTGAAGAGCTGCAGAGGCAACAGAACAGCGCCCAGTTCTGTGATACCCTGCTGCAAACTGAAGGTACGACCACGAGCGATTCCTTTTTGATCGATGAAGCTTCTCGGATGAGAAGCGAAACACCTTCACTTTCAGAATAAAAGTCCAGCTGTGTTTGTGTTTTAACTTTTCTTTTTTGAAAAACTATATTAAAATTAAAGAAACGCACCATTAAATTGTTACTTTTTCGCTTATTTACGAAGGTATCTCAGTCCCGACACACAGCTGTGTCCTCGCAGCCCTCAGCCCTTACCTGTGTCGAAGGCTCTCCACCTCTCCGTCTCCTCCGTCGGGACAGAAGCGACGGCTCCAGCTGCAGGCGGTGACGCCCCAAACGTTGCTGAAGCTCGTCGGCCTCCTGTACTCCGGGGAGCTGGAAGTAAGAGGCGGCAACGAGCAGAACGATGTGCTGGCCGCGGCCCACCTGTTTGGGATCGGACACCTTGTGTTAGGGCGTAAAGATGAGTGGGTGAAAGGTGGAGAGCTGCTGTGCAGGAGGCAGAGTGTTGGAAATCACGCGTCGAATGGTGCACAAGAAACCAGACAGAGCCACAGAGGCCTGAAGACGCAGGATGCACAAGTTCAGGCTGACATGAACGGAAGGAGAGGAAGCAATCTTCCAGTTCTAAATAAAAGTTTTGTATCTGTCGGTACACAGACTGTGAAAGCTGGCGTCACATCAGCGTTCAGCTCTGATCCCTCTGATCAAACACCTGCGTGTCCGTCTTCTGTCAGTCTGCAACCTCAGAGCGTCACGCCCAGTAAACAGCTCAGCCTCTCCTGCCCGTCCGTTCACAGCGAGTCTTCAGTTGCACTGTCCCCCGTCAGCGAAACAAACGCATCATCATCTTCAA